TGCGAGGCAAAGTGGCCCGTTGACCAAAACAACATGATCCAAAACGAAGTCAGAACACATACAAGTGATTTCTGCGGGCACATTGGTGGGAACACCAAAAGCCCGGGCCACATGCCTTGGTCACCTCTATGGACTCAACGATCTGAAACAGAGTTTGGCCCCAAAAATTCAAGGGACTTGAGCTTGCCACGCCCTTGGGGGTACCGGGCATTGAAGCCCACAGCCCAGCCCCTCCGATCGAATGACTCGGCAAAAGTTGGGCTCTGCTCCATGGCCTTTTGACCCATCGGGCCCCCGGTTTCAGACGGCTTCCATCCTACGTCCTACGTTTTGGCCACTCGTTCCGAGTGGCGCGTCCATGGCCAAGCTGTACAGCTGCTTCAGAGAGTCCATGGTCTTCAGCCTGGCACACGCAGCTGACGGCTGCTGGAGGTGACGACCAGGCGGGGGCCACTGCTGTAAAGACCCAAACGCTTACATACCGCCCCACCCCACAAAAAGACAGGAACCGGATATGCGATTCTTGGAGAGGGTGACCTGGGAGTTGGATCTAAGCGCTAAAGGTTGATCCGCGCAAACGGGAAGCATTGGAAGAAGTGCTGCTAACAGAGGCATGCAGAGATGTCAAATGCGCTTCCGCCTACCAGTGGGTATTGCCATCAGAAAGTCTGTCCCATTGCAAAGGCGGTTTTTGCCGTTCTTCCCGCGAAGCATGATGGCATCGAAGCGCAACTAGTTTGTAAGGTAGCATCATGCTTTCCTATAAGCAAGCTCAATATTTCATGGAAAGTACGGCGCCTCCTGCCCAGCAAAACAGACTTCGTCACTTCAAGCATGTTGACTGGTTGTGCATGAAATCAATGAGTCCGACCAGAGGGGGGGAATCCGCAAAGTGGAGGAATCCGCAAACGTGGATTGCACAGAGTCTCTCGCTAGGAGCCAAACCTAATCGGAGAACCAAGGTGATATCAGCCGAAAGCAATCCCCGGTAATCTGCAAACGTGGATTGCACAGAGTCTCTCGCTAGGGCCAAACCTAATCGGAGAACCACGGTGATATCAGCCGAAAGCAATCCCCGGTTGGAGTACTGTCGATGTTTGATGTCCGTCCACCACCTCTCTCTGAAATGCAACATGTCCAAGCCACTTGACCACAGGGCAGGCAGACTTGGGCTAAGCAAACACACCGCGACAAAGCAGTGCCAGCTCGGCAATAGCAGCACCTCAGCGGAACTTTTCACCCACTCAGCTGATCCCTTGAAGGCAAAGCAGTTCACAAAAGGCAAGAAACATAAGCAAATCATGTGTCTTCTCAAAATTGGGGACTCCTCTGAGGGGTTGGTTTTCCTGTTGGTTTCCCTTCAGCAGTACCCAGAAAAAACATCATCAAACAGACGCATCCCCATTCTGCAAGGACATTCTGCTCACACCACTGGCAACCGGAAGCAGCGAAACAGCCCCGCCAATGAAAGGGATGATCCCACCTTTCACACTTCCGCCTAAGACAAATATAACTTGCGACAGGGCCCGTGGAGAAACGCATGGAGGCACTGCCTAAACCTGACCTTGCAACCGAGGCCATGTTGCATACATAGAAACAACATAGTTACACGTGTTGTCGAGTCATTATATGTTGGATCATGACGTGCTTGCAAACGCTCGCGCATACCAAACACTTGCACTGCCCCGGCCTGTTCGAAAGAGACTTGGACCCAACCTGCAACCTCAACATCATGGGACCAACCAGAAAAACAACGTATGTTTCGTTCCATGGCAAAAGTTTTGCTGGAGGCCCCGGGCAAGGCCGCCGCCCTCCACCTAGGACGTGGAATCACTTCATTTCAGGGGTAAAGCGACCTTCGGATGCGAAGGATTTCATGATACCAATGCTGCAAACTTCCCCAGTCGCTCTCCGTTGGTTGGGTACGTCGAGCCCAAAGACCAAATGATGGCAAAGGCAGGCAGGAAATAACTGCGATAAGTCGTGCCGATCCACTTGGCACTGGCTTATACCAGGAAACCTTGGATCTTCCATAAGAAACGATCTATGGCCGCAGATAGGCAGAGCCACGCAGGAGGCTTTTGAGTTGGATGCTCTGCCCCTTTCCGTTTTGACAGGCTTGACGCACTCACGATAGTAACAAGATCATGACTTGATTGGCGGAAATGCTGAGGTGATGGATGTATGCAAAACCATATGTAAGAACACCAAGAAACCTAGCATCTACATATCCACGGCGTGAAGTTTCTCTGAGATCTTGCGGTACTAAGAAACATTGGCCTCCAATCTTCAAGCCCAAACTCTCAGTGTGGCCATCAGAGCAAGCTTGATCAAGCTTGCTCAGGGCTTAAAAATCTAGGGTATAGGTTTCAGGTTTTCGGTTTCGGGTTCAAGTTTACAGGTTTAGGGTGTAGGTTTAGGGCTTAGGTCTAGGTTGAGGGTGTAGGTATAGGGTCTAGGTCAAGTACGTGCCCCTCTGCAGGCTGGCTGCTAGTGCGTGTCTGAGAAGCTCTCAAGAAGTATCGGCTAGCTTTGTCCGAATGGCGCGCTAAACAGCCGCCGTCTCTGCCTTTCAACGAGCCGAGCTGCGCTTGTCTGTATGAGCCTGAGCCTGATGGCGGCTTATGTCTTTAGGTTCGGGCGTTGGGGCGTTGCTTTGGGGCGCAGGCAACCCTCAGGGGCTGGCCGTAAATGTATGTAAGCAAACATATTGTCCAGCATTTCCTTAGCCAAAGGCATGAACCACTGGGAAGCTCCTTCAGTCAAGCCTCCGTCTGGATTCTTTCAGCGCATTGAGACAGGGACTGCTTTCCAGTTTCGGAGAAGCTCAAACTTGCTTGAGAAGACCATTTTGTGTAACTTAGTCAAAGTGTTCGTAGAGGGTGCGCACGCGTACAGTTCGAGGAGTCCATGGACCTGCTGCCACCTGCTACCAGCATTGCTCCCCATGCCATGCACTCCCTGCGCTTATTTCCGTGCAAACGCCTGAGAAGTTGCAGGGGGTGATTGATCCAAAGCGCCCATCACTCATTCAGTGGTAGCAAAGGTCAGAAACACGTGCTCCAGGCTCTGGTCCTTTGAAGCTTTCGATTCACGGGTCCAAAGGACAAGGAAACACCAGGCAAAGTGTTTCAGGGCGCAACGCCAGACCCTGCGAGTCCAGGACTAACAACAGAACTCTTCAGAGAAAAACCGACAAGTCAAAACCACATTCGTAACGTAGTGCTCTCGCGCTGGACCCACGGTGCGTCGTGCGCAAAGGACTTTCCTCCGTACCTCAGCTCGTCGCTGGGGTCCCGAGCCGTCTCCACCACGCGACAGAGGAGGTTCGGCGTGAGCGCCTCGAAATCCTGAAGGATGCACCTCAGACCGCCATCGCTGCAACGGCTAGGAGCTCCTCAGCTTTGGGTGGCCCTTTCATCCCTTCCGAAAGGCAAACAGGAACTGGCTTTGAGAATGGCGAAACAATAGCGTCTGCAGAAGAATCAGCAAATTGGTTGGTCACTGGAAAATGATAAAACCACAAAGTCAGCAGCCAACAATGACAACAACATAAGCAAATTCTGCTCGGCTTTAGGGTGAGGCCCTCAGACCTTTTATCAAGATGAGTAGGTCTTCTGGCCAAGGTAAAACATGTCACAGCTGGTCGCCGGCTATCCTTTTTGGGGTGTGTGCTTGCAAGCTATTGACTTGTGGGTTCCAAATGTCCGACACACTTGAAATGCATTGTGTACGCTACAATACACAACCCACGCGCGGCGTCCAGAGTTTTCGAGAAACGTCAGATGCAGTGAATACGGAGCCTTGTCGAATTGCCAGCACGACTGTAGCGGCACCAACTCAAAACATACCCAAGGGAGCAGCTTCAATAAAGGTGACTAAAAGCAAAACTGATCTGGCCCGTTCTCTACTATATGGCAGGCAAAGCGGGAAACGCGTTCCTTCCACAAAGCCCGTTCTCGAAGAAATCCTGAGGCGAAGGCATGCCGAAGGTCTTGCCCAGGACCTGCTCAGTCTCCTTGTAGTAGCCTGGCATGGTGTTCTCAATGGATGAGCCCTCTTTGGGTTTGCGTCAGCAACTCCGAACAGCCAGACACGGCCGTAAGGCCAGGGAGTGACTGGTGCCGGTAGCTTGGTGGCATGCAACGGCTTGGCAGGCAATGCCTCTCGGCTCAATCTGGCGATCAATACACCGTTCAAGTTGGCCCCCAATTAACATACCGCTTCACAGATTGAGATGATTCAAATGAAGTCGCTACAGCACGATGCGGCGAACCTATGCCCCCCTCTGCATTATGCATTCACTGTGCAGCCCCAAGCATGCCAGACCCTCAGTAGCGGATGTTGGTGGATGAAACGAAGAGGTCGAACCTGGCTCTTGCATGCGCTGCAACGCAATATACCGAGATCTGTCTGGTGTAAGAAACGGATTTCAAATCCGGGGATGTGTTCGCGACCCCTTCAAAGCAATTCATGAGAAATCGAGCATTGGGAAGGGCCCCTTAGGTTTGGCCACATCCCCTGGTGCTGTCTCACCTTCAGAACTGACCTCTGCGCCATTCTTGAAAACAAAACAACAGCTTCAATGAATGGCAAATGCTCCGCGAATTGCTGGCCACTGGATGCGTACCACTATTGGGGGCCAGGGCTGCAACTTGGGACCAGAAACTCGCTCATGGGCAGCCAGGTCGGGGGGACGGGTCGTCCACGTTCGCATCCAACTGCCCACGCTGCTGCATCTTCTTAACCTGGCGGGAAGTGGGGTTTGAAGAAATCCTCCTCAGCAACCACAAGGGCCAAGTATGGCCATGTATCTCTGCAACTACCCGAGCAAAACGTGCGAGCCTCAGAGCAACCGGACAAAACACCCTTCGCAAACTGCAGAAATCTGAAGATAATGTCGGCTAGCTTGAGGCCTAAGCCAACTTGCTTGCCCAAAGCAAGCTCACAAGAATGCAACACATGCATCCTGCATTATGTGATGCCAGCGCACGCAATTTTGGTCGTCAGGTGTCAATCGCCTTGAAACGCTTTGAACACCTTCTACTTGCGGCGAATGGGAAGTCTACCTGGCTAAAAAAATAAAGGGCCACAACTGATCTATGCGGCACTTGCATGATTCACAGCGCCCACATACTCGATGTGCAAGGGCAGTGTTTGCCCCTGGCCTTCCTCTATGTACAAGTCAGCCTTGTGTTTCTGGTACTGCCTTTCGGCTGCTTCCACATCTTTTGGCGCTGCCCAAAGCAAATCACATCTTGGGATGTGGCCTTCAGGGCTGCAAAGAACCTGTGGTTGAAACTAGGAAGGAGAGAGAAACAATAGGAAGTTTGTTTCTCAAAAGGCCCCCTACACAAAAAATCCTCTTCGCTGGGGTTAAGCTATTTTGAAACATAGCTTGGGAGAGGGCCCCCGAGCGGGCTGCATAAGTTTAAGAAGGCCTGCGGCCTGCGGGCAGGTCTTATAAATGCCTGAAGCCTGAAACCAGGTTGAAGGTCCCAACCGCGAAGCCTGTAAACAGATGCTTTGTTTGTGGTCCAGTCCATGCTTAACGGGCCTAAGTATAAATTCATACCTCACAAACCCAACATGAAGGTGAACACCGTATATCCTGGATGCGTACATTTGCAGTCGTTGCCCACCTGCGATTGGACCAAGATTCAGGAGATCGACTAAATAAGCCAGGGTATATAAACTTTAAAACTAAATATATAAATGATGTATGTATTGTGACTCATATGTACCCATGCATGTAGGCCCCTTGTCCCAAAAAAAGCAATCCGTATGTAGCAATGTGGCTTGCAAAGCTGTGCGTAGGTATACTGTATGTGTACTATGTATATCATACATATATATATATATAGTTGTTGACATGGCACGTGAGTGCACATCAGCATGTCAATGTTCCTTTTGTCAGGGGTATCTACCCAGATACTTGACAATTGAAAACGTTCACCCGGTCCTGGCACCGCCTCGCCGCTGGTCGTTAGCAACATGCCCTCGCCAGACGCTTCCAGCTGGGCGCGGTTGGCCTCCTCGCCAGCATCCAAGGGAAGCTGCCTAGGCGGGGGAAAAAAAAAGAGCAGCACCCGTACACTGTGTGGAAATTGTGAGTGTGTTTCACTCCGGGAAACACAACCCAAGGTCCAGCTAAAAGGCAAGCAAAGCTTTGTCCGGAGTGGGAGAAAAAAAACAACAGTGGTTAGTTTTGTTGTGGTAGCCCGCAAAAACCCCGCGCACATCAGGCATTTCAATGCCGCTGCACCAGAACGCACTGTATGCACAGTTTGGAAAAACAGTGGACCATGATCGATGGACACTCTGCCTGGGGGCGAGGAAATATGAAAGTCCCTCGTGGCTTTCTTTCTGGAAAGCTTAGAATTTGTTTCATTGGACCAAGTTCATCCCACGGCACGATTGAATCATGTGCTCCAGCTTCCGTCTAAAACTGAATAAAGCTCAGGCTAGGGCCTTCGTTTGAAAGAGCCTGAACCATTTGACTTTGTGCAGTGGCCAGTGTGCACAGAAAATACCCCAGCCAAACTCAAGCACACACGATATGACCTACCAACCCTTCCACTCCAAAACAGTCTGGAGATAAGCAAAACCTCAAGTGCATTGAACAAGATTAGGTTTGCGTTGCCAACCACCCGCTGGTTTGTCCAACAAAAAATTGGCAGCATGTCAGTGGGAACTCAAAGCCAAGAGAACCTCCGCATTCAGGAACCCTTGCGCAGGTGCTCCACACAGGTCCAACCGAAAGGAAGCCTCCACCGCCCTTCCGTCAAAGCTCCATGCCCATGGGCTAGCACTGGCCAGCCAGAACTAGGTTTGGGTACCGTCTCATAGTTGCCAGCTGCAACAAATTTCTATGTGCGGAAGTGAAGCAACCTCCCCAACGCATACAAGGAAGTTGCATAAACACGGCAATCATTGCTTTTGTAACTTGCTTTGTTTTTTTTCCCCGGATTTGATCAACTCTTGATAGTTCTCACAAAACGTGTGCTTTCCGCGCCTCGGTGCGGCTTGGTCCCACATTGTTTGCACTAAGTGTAGCATGCAAAGTGCACTTTTGGCAGATCTAACTCGAAATTGACCAAAGTCCGACCCATGTTGTTTACATTTTCCACAAACTAGCCTGAATTGTCCATGGGGTATAACTGTGGAGGCCGGTGCAAGGTGTGTTAATCATGTCATTGCTTGTCTGTTCGCGATAATGTTGCTGTTGTTTATCCAACTGGCCGCATTGTTGCAGACTGACAAGCCACAATCCACACAAGGTTGCTGTCGGCCAAGGGCCGGCCAAAGACCATCTTTGCTTCAATCCTGCCACGCTGTCTGGAAAGGTTAATTATGCAATGCAGAATCATAAGAGCCCGAATACCAAACTCATAGTGAGGGCGGTTTACTATCTCAAGTCCACTTCTGTAGACTATTCATGTATCTTGTTTCCACGACTGCCAGTGACCTCTAACCAGTGGGGCCGCTCTCGGCTGCTTGGGGCGGGTTTGGCTTCCGGGCGCGTTTCCCCATTTACCTCACGGAAGGAAAGCGCATTGGTCCAAATGACTGCAGCTTCAAGGGATCTGAGTTGAAACCAAAAGGAACGCATTTTGCACACGTTGCTACTGGGGTCTCCTGTTTCAAGACACCACCAGCAAACCAGACATTCATTTGGGCTTTTGACAAAATAGGGGACCCCCCAAAATGGTCGTGTTCCTGAAAAAGGACCCCTCCAAAACCGAAACACCAATCTGTATCTGCATTTTTTTCCTCTTTCAAGGGCCTTCCAACCTCGCCCGCTTCCCCCGAAACCCAAAAAAGAACCGCGAGAGCGGCCCAAAGCGCTGCTTTGGGCGGTCGGGGCGCAGGGTCTCGGCCGCGAGGTGCACCGTGGCGCAGGGCTTCAGAAAGCCGAGGGCCACGGGGCAGGCGCTGAGGCGCAGCGCCTCGCACCCCCCGAGCTCGTCCGTGCGCTCCAGCAGAGGAGAGGGGTCCTCGAAAGCGGGGCCTTAGGAGCCCAGGCCCCGAAATATTCCCCGGGTTCCAGGAACCTTAGGAGCCCCCGGAAATATATCCCCCCAAGTGGGAAGCCTGCAACCTGTGCGACCCTGGAATGAAAAGGGCTCTAGCCCAAAACAAACAAGATTTAGGTTCCAGGCGGTGGGTTGTTTTGGGCCGATGTCCATTGAAGGCTGGTCAAAGGGCTACTCGCTTGAGATGCAAGGGGTCACCATCCAACATTTGAGAACGACAACCATCCCTCCAGGTGGAAACAAGCCAGTGTCTGTTTGCATTCACCCCGCCCCACCCCCCAACCCCGTCCAACCTCCCGCCCAGTAGGCAGTCCTTGGCATGCCAGAGGAAGTCTTTCCTGCTGCAGCGCAGGCTCAAACCTGCTACAGGGCAGCTTTGTGCCGCATCTGTGCCTTCCAGGCAGAAGGAGGCGATGCCTTTATCTACGAAGGAGGCGCCCAGGACGTCACTTCCCCAGGCACACCTCGAGGGCCGAGCTCATGTTCACATTGAGGGTCCATGGCGATGTCTCAACATTTTCTGCTTGTTGTGTTTGTTTTGTTCTGCTTGCTTTTGTTTCTTCGTGTTGTTGTGTATTCTTCAAGCGGCAAGTGGTTGGCCCCTTGGGGTTTTGTTTGTTTATAGATGGCACTGGCCAATGATTGAATCAAACTGAAACCAGTGCCATCGACCAAACTGACCTGAAAACAGAGTTGCTCAAAACGGGGGGGGGGGAAATCTTGATCAATGATTCGCACCCAAATAATCGGAACACCTCCTTTGGGTTGGCTTGAAGAGGTTTATCTGACACCATTTAATTTAGAGTCCATTTCCTCCCCCCCCTCCCCTTCCCCGCACCTCACAGCACCCCGGAGCGGCACGGCCTCCTCAGGGACGTGCGCCTGAAGCGCCGCCAGCCACACGCAGCTGGGATCAAGCTCCCCCTCTTCCTCCGGCTCCGGGTCCGTGGCGTAAATGAAGAACCTCAGCTGAGTCGTAGTCAAAATCTGGTAGTAAAATGGTCTACCCAGAAACATGTGAAGAATTACGAAGGCGGCCGCAGCTATTTATGGTTCGGATTGTCCCTGACTAACCTTCATCTACCCGGGTTTTCCCGTTACCCCGGACGAAAGGTGCTGGGTGTTTTTTTTTCAAGGGGAGCCTCTGATGAGTTCCAGGTGGACGGAAGCAACACTAAACTACCTTCCTCGCTCTTTCCGATCCTTTTGCCACAAAACCAAAGCCTATGGTGAAACAGCGACGATGATTGGAAAGAGTGAGAATAAATATCTAAAACTAACCAATCACACAAATCAAACCGATCAAATAAACAATCTAGTCCAACAAGTCATGCATCTTTTGCACATCGACTGCACCGCCATGTTGGCAAAAAGGAGCAGGCATGCACTGTAGAGCCTCTGGGTCCGTGTCAAATGCCCCGCCCCCCCCCCGCTCCCCCGCTCTGAAGTGGTTGCCCCAGGCGCCGAGGCTTTGCCTTGCACAGGGCCTCGTTGCGATCTCTTTCCACCGTGAGGCATACCTCGCCTCCTGGCATTTCCCACAAAACACATCCCAAAATCACGTGTTCCACGGGGGGGAAGCTCTGACTCAGCGGGACACTCTGAGTTTCATGGGCAGCTTGCAATGCTGGGGTCATGGTTTTGACGGTTTCTTGGGGAACATGGGGCTATTTCCCTTTAACCAACTTAGGGGGTGATTTTGATCATGGTAAAATATTGAAGCCAGTAATGCCCAGCCTTGGAACGCCGGGTGCTGAAAGCGCACTTCGCAGGCGCCCAGCGGGGCCTCGCCATGGAACACGCCCTCCGCGTCGGTGGAGCCGGACGTCGGGGACGAGGTCCCGGAGAGGAAGATGGACACGTCGGGCCTGGGCTCCGGAGATGGACATTTATCTAGGTGAATTATCATATTTCACCAACCTGAAATAAGGTGGTCAGGGGGATATTCCCCAAACAAACCACCATTTGGGGTGAGGTCGTGTGAGGTCGCTATATTCACCCAGACATTTGGGACCCTGCTGCACCCTCAAAATCGCAAAGCCGAAAACAAGGAATAGGAGCTGACGGGGTGATGCACAAGTGCGGGACACCATGAATACCGCCAACAGAGTTCTGGCGTATGGAAACGCAACACAGCAGCCAGAAAAAGAAAAGACGCAACGCCTGTTAAGTTCGGCATGGCTGACAAAGGCGTGAGGCAGCAAGCTGTCACGACGCGCACTTTCACTGGAGCCACCTCCAGGCATTCCAACTGCCAGCCAGGCTGGAGGACTTCCTGCGGAAACCGCCGGGTCAAGAGCGGAAAAGGGGCAAAGGACATCCATCCCCAAGTTAGATTCCTCATAAGTATAAATACTCAACTTGTAACTGACAAAGGCAAGGTTTTGATAAGGCCTCATGCGAGTGGCCCTCCTGGTTTGTTTTCTCATTCCCACACTTCCGTGAAAAAAAGCATGGCAAATCATCACAGCAAATCCAAATCGTCAGCCGGACAGGGTCTGCATTACATCTCAGGGTGGGCCCAAAGATCAGACCCGCCATAAATGTGGTGATTGCTAAGGTCCTGGATGCCCAAAGTAGAGTAAGAGTCGGACCCTCCGCTGGAGCTTGATGCATTCGGCATCATTCAGAACTCACATAATTCAAAAATGCCGACTTCGCCGTGCCCGGTGACCTTTTTCAAGGCGCTTTCAATCGAACATCTGCTATTTACATGGGCGTGCTTTGGGGTACCAACCTCTTCTCTTGCGGAACAATTTCAGCTGGACTCGAATTTGGGCATAGTCTCTCCCGTTTTGGCACCATAGTCGGTTCATGAGCATGAGCAGCTCTTCGTCTGTAATTCTCACAGCCAAGGGGCTTTAAGTAAGCTGACGACCTGAACAAAGAACAATAGAACCCAGTGGTCTGTGTAGCCTTTGAACAAAACCGCAGCCAGAATCTTTGACCCTCACCGATATCTCGAGCCTCATCTAGCTGTTGCCCATCCCGCTGGAGCCACAGCTGACGATACTCCAGGCCCATCCTGTCCAGGGGTCCCCAGTTGTCCAATAGCCGTGGTACAAAAAGGCAAGCCTGTTTGGGTTGACTTGACAAACTGCTGGGGGCCTTGTTCCCAACCACACTCTCCACCAAAGAATGCCTCATAGTGCCGCTATCAAAGCCGACCCCCAATGATTAAACGGTACATAGGTTAAAGAGAAACAAAGCCAGAAGCCCCGACTTTCACAACCCTAAAAACGGTATAATTCCGAATGGTGTTGCTGCGTTTGGTGAATTACTAGTGGATACCGATTAGGGAAATGTTGACTCAGGATTGCTTTAGAGTGGCCGAGGGTCTGCGGTTTAACTTGCTTGAGAATGGACATATAGATTTATCTATATATAGGGTGGGGCGTAGGTTGGCTTAGGGAGGGCTGCGGTTTGGTTTCAGGTTGGTTAAGACTTGATTCTAAATTGACACATGGGTGGTTTCGAGGTTAATTCACGTGCGTGCATCAAATGGTTCTGCAGGACATTTAGGTCAGGCTTAGGGTTGGTTTCTTGGATTTGTTTCGATGGTTTCGGTGGATTCGGGTCCTAAGAAGGATGGCTCAAGGAGCATGGTGGCACACACACATGACCAAGCATTGTTTGAAAGGATGCATGGCCGGTTGAAACTAAACGGCGGAAAAGTCTAGATGCAAACACAGTCAAAAAGGCAAAATGCCGGGACGCCAGAAAAGCCAGTCAAGTCACAAAGCCAGAAAAAGCAGGGACGCCACAGAATACAGAAAAACCAAGAAGTCAGCACGAACGCCAAAAAGGCAAGCGAATCAAACAAACCTGACAACCTCCCAAATAAAGACACGCAACATTCCTGTCTTGCATCTCTGCTTTTTTTCAAAGGTGGCATTATTGTGTTTCTAGTGAAGTCATTGTAGTTCGCCCAACAACATCTAGCCTTGCAATTATTCCCAACACCCCCGATCTTGAGCCATCCTACTGAGTGATGTGAATGCGGACAGAACTGGAGTTTAGGGTATAGTCTTACAATCTTACAAGAGAACCAACAGACGCAGTTGGGGTTCTCAGATGCCACATGCCCCGCTCCTCTCTGCCAAGTGCTCGCGCAAGGCTTTCGCCGTGGGCGCTTCGGCCAATGTCACCTGGACCTCCTCTACGCCGCCCACCTGCGGCGAAACGGCTGGATTCGGATACCCATTAGTACTCCTTTTGTTGCCGAGTCATAGAACCCGGTCAAAACCCGGAGACTCAATTTGCTTCAAAAAACAATTTCAACCTTAACTAACCCAGCAGTTTTGGTTGGTCATTTCAACTGAACCACATCTCGCCACGTCTCTGGTTCCACGGCCCATGGACGACTGGTGTGGCTCAAAATTAATCAGGAGGGGCAAACCGCAGGTTTTGGTCCATGTTTCCACTTACCAGGGTTCCAAGGGATCCTTGCATTATACACCGGAACATTGCCCTGTAAATGGTGGTTTCCCTTTATTTGGGTGGGAAAGGCCATGTTTCAAAGGGGCAAAATGTATCTTTTAAGAAGCCCCGATTGGATAATTCCGTGTTTTTGTTGCGCCACAGGTCCATCCATCGCCCACTCCGCCTGCACGGCGGGCAGCAGCTGGCCCATGGCCACCGGGCAGCTCAGCAGCCGCTGGTACTCGGAGCCCCGGAGCTCCGCCTGCCGCGCCGCCAGCGGCGATTCGCCGCCAGCAGACCAGAGGTGGCCCGCCCGGCGCACGGCCAAAACCAAGGAGCCCAGGCTGCACTGGGGCGCCTCAAGGGACAAGGGCACCCAAAAGCTGGCGTCATGGACAAGGTCAATATATATATATATAATATATAATTATATATAATTATATATACATAACATTTATTTACTTATATGGAAAAGGGAAACAGAGCCAAAACTGGTCCTCTGGGTGTTGAACTTTGAGTCAACCCAGGGTGAGAGGCTCTGAAGCAATTTGGCCCAAAAGAGTGGGGGTGAAATGCTCAATTGAGCGAGTAAAGGGATGACGCTGAATCTGCCATTGCAAGGCCCTGTTTTGCTCAGACTCGCTAGCTGCCTTGCATCCGTTTGTTTGCCAGTGGCCTCGTGGCCTCCCGCAAAGAACAGAAACTCAGTGGGCCCAGACTCCTTCAGCTCCTTTTCCACCTTCTTGCCGTTGAGTGTCCCGGACACACGTCCGCAAATGCCCACGGCCCCCTCAGGAATATGCTCTCTGGATGCACAGACCCAGACCATGCAGCACCGAGAAGATGGCTCCTTCAGATTGGGATGACTGAAACCTTGACATCATGTGCGAAACTGAAGATGGTTCCCAGCTCATATTGAAGGAACATGGGTTGATGTGTATGCATTCACTCCTCCAGAAAGATGATGTGATAGAGCAATAATAATAAAAACAAACAAAAACATCACAACACCTAAACATGCCAAGTAGTACACTATGTAATGTGGTAACGGCATGATGCTGTTCTTATTTCAATTGAAGCAAGTGTTGCCTGTATAAAAACAAAAAGGTTTGTCCCCCGAACGAGTTTCATTCTGTCTATTTTGGATTAAATCTGACCAAACATATTCAAATCGGTGATTCTGTTTATCCAAAATGTTCACGTTGAAGATAATTGAACAATCATCACCACAATAATAATTTGCAAGATGAGACTAAGAAACAAACCAAATGCTTAATCTTGAAAAGTCGATCATATATCTGGGCCCTGAATCCGAGATGATCAAGCACACACCAGAGCAGCCCTTGTGATGCCTTCCAAATCACCCTCAGTCCTCTTCCTCGTCCTCTTCGGGCTCGGTGGCATAAATCCAGAGGCGCAAGTCTGCGAAGAATCGCAGCTGGGTCGGCACCTGCACTTCCAGCCGCTTCGGCTCTCCGAAGCAGGGGTGCTTCAACAGAAGTGTCTGACGCCCGGGGGGCAGCATCATGCGGAGGTCCCCCTGCGCATCCGTGCGACCTCGAACCTCCCCCACCTCCGCCTCTAGGCCTTCCAGGCCTTCTGGGCCCTCCGTCGCCTCATCTGGGAGAAGGATCTGAAGGTCCAGTGCTGCCAACCGCTGAGCCAAGACCTCCATGCCCGGCTTCAGGTTTTGGCTGGGCACCTCCAAACCCACCTCCTCCTCCCTGCAGCCCATGTGATCCGCCAACCAGCCCCGCAAGGCCTCCATGCTTTGGCACTCCGCGAAGGGTGCGAGGAGGCGCTCCTCACCCAGCTGGACCAACAGGGCTGGCCGCAGGCGGCCCAGCAGCACCGGGCCCTCCCCCGCCCGCACGAAGGGGCACACCTCCTTTCGGCCGCTCGGCTGGAAGGCCAGGAGTCTGGCCTGGCCTGGCTGCGCCCGGAGCTCACTGGTGTCCAGCCACAGGCCCTCCAAGGGACAAGGCCCACGAGATGCGTTGCCTCAGTCGCAAAGTAAATATCCCATGGGGAGAAAAAAAACAACGGTGGAATCTTTGAGGGTTGTCCAGACTTCCCCTGAGAAAAGAACAAGGACCAAGAAGTTGGAGGAAACCGGCATGAACAAAAAAGAAACGCTGCACAAAAGAACAACTTGGAAGCCACCTGACTACATTGTTTCACCTCTCAACCTGACATGGGATCGCGGACACTTGGGGAAAAGTGGTGTTGCCCTGAACCAAACATGTGTCAAAAGGACACCTTCCGGAGAAACGGGGGCATGAAAACAGGGAGGGGTACCCCCAAATTGGGTGGTGTTCCTTTTGGTTTCAAAAAGAACTAGAGTACCATCCCACCAGTTAACATGGAACCTGACAGGGGGTCCCTTTGAAGGAAAATGCTCTTCCAGGACCCGAATGTTAGGTTCCATATGGTTCCATATTCATTGGTGGGAGGCCCTTCTTGAAGGACACCATGGCCCATCCGAATCTAAGAGCCCGACTCCAGGGCAGCAGCACCAATTCCAGGGACTCGATGGGCGCCGACCGCTCCAAGCCCACCCCCAGCCGCGCCCCGACCAGCGGCCGAGCCGTGGATGGAAGGTGGCGCCGGTGGGCGCACATCCACACCGACAGCTCCTGGGCCAAGTTTCTCTGCGAATACAGGAGCCGCAAACGTGGTGTCCCTTTGGAATCCCTTTGTCGCTTCCATGTTGAACACTCGCAAAAGGGGTGTGTTAAAAAAAAAAAAAAAAACATATGTCGCTGCAACTTCATGGGTGCACTCGTCTTGAAGGCACCAGCTAAGGTGGGCTCGTACTATTTGGCCGAGACTACGCAGCCACCTGGCTGAAGGACGAACAAATGTGCCCTTGTGCCCTTAAAGTGTCAATGATTACCAACTCTTTGAAAGAAGCACCAGCCAGATGCCTTGGTTCATCTTTTGATACCCTGTTCCAGACAAAAAAGGGACTGCCGTTGGATGCACTTTGAGGGAGGCGTTGACTCGCCAAAACGGTAGTCAAACATGGAATTGATCTTTATCTTTCTTTCTCCGCGTCTTTGTTTTCTCTTTCACTTTCTCTGCTTTCCTTTTGCCTTCTCATCTGTCTCTCACTTTCTCCATCTCTATCAGTCTGTTTGTGCTTACCTGTCTACCTACCTACCTATCTATTTAATCTAGAGAGCGGGGCGCGAGGGGGGGTGGAGTTATCGAGATGTTGTAAACGTAGCACATTTGTTGTGTTTCCCAGCATGATATCAATATGAAGCAGGCTGGTTGAGGCTTGTTATGACCTGGCCAGATCAGTCATAGGTTGGTATACCCTCTAGTATTCTAGTATTCCCTCAGTGTTGCCCTACTAGTCTCCCAATATTCCTCCAGCATTTCCTCGGTAGTTTCCTAGTATTATCTTCATATTCACTCTGAGTATTCCCCTAATATTCCCCCGCTATCCCCTTAGTATTCCCCTAGTATTCCTTTAGCATTCTCTTGATATACCCTCCAGTATGACCTCATTCAGTGTTCCCCTGACAGTCCTTCAATATACTCCTAGTATTCACCCTTAGTCTTCCCCTACTCCGCTGTCATCTCCTCGGTATTCCCCTAGTATTCCTTTGAGGTTCCTTTAGTATTCTCTTGGTATACCCTCTAGCATTTCCTCAGCGTTTCCTCAGTGCTCCCTTAATATTCCCCAAGTATTCTCTCATTATTATCCTGGTATTTTCCTAGCATTCACCCTTAGTACTGCCCTACCCCCAGTATTCCTTTGATGTTCCCCTATTCCTTTAGTATTCAAATACCCCTAGTATTCCCTCAATACTTTTCTAGTATTCCCCTAGTATTCCAATAATATTGCCCTAGTATTCCTATAATATTGCCCTAGTATTCCTTAGTATGTTCTTGGTACGCCCCTAGTACTCTCCCGTCTCCCAGTATTCCCCTGGTACTCTAGTATTCTCCTAGCATTTCCCTTTGCATTCCCGATGGTTTTCCGCTACTGTCTCCCCAGCGTGTCCCTATTACTTCTTTAAAATTCTCCCGATATTCTCTTCGTATTCCGTTTCCTTTCCATTATCTGACAAATCCCTATTATTCCCTTCATATTCCTTTGCTGACCCCCAGGGTTCCCTCAGCACTCCCCCAGTATTCCCTTAATGTTCCCAAAGTAGTTCCTCGGTAATTCCCTAGTATTCTCTTAGTTTTATTTGAGAAATATATTACATATGAGTTTATTTGGGAAGAATTCTGAGGCGCCAATCTTGTTGAATATTGTGTTGAACTGTTTACTGATTTGCAAGGACAAGTCTATGGGAAAGGATATCCCGTGTAACATTGAATTCGAAATAGACCAATCACTACTTAACTTATAATTCAAGACAGGAATTCTCATTGGATTCTGTTATTCTCAAATTGTTTGTCATTTAGACATTGAGTAGAACTTGATACAGTAAAGATGTTAAGTAGAATTCATAAGGAAAGGAGTCGGAGTGGCTTAGTGATGCAGAGTTCTTGCAATCCAGGATGCGTGTGTGTGTGTGCCAAAACAGGTTGCCCAAGGGCAATACTACAGGCATACTCGCGAAATACGAAGAGTAGGGTGTGCAGTGGAGACTTCAGGCAGACATTCATGAGGAACAGAAACCCAAAAAGCAGAGGAAACACCCATGGCAAGGTTCTCAAGCTTTCGAGTTGTCCAAACAAAGTGAAAAACACCTCGAGTTTTATGCCCCAGATCCTGGAGACACCCCCCATGGGCCAGGAGTTATTTTTTGTTTTTCTCTAAACACAATTCACACCCCATGCCCCAAATCCTGGAGCACCCACCATGAGGCGAGGAGTTTTTGTTTGTTTAACTCGAGCTTTTTTTTTTGAAAGTGAGTTTTCCAACACAACCCAAAAAAAATCAGACCCCATGCCCCAGATCCTGGAGACACCCCTCACGGGGCCTGGAGTTGTGTTTAGCAGTCTACCTGTCTATCTATTTATCAGTTTGTTTCATTACCTATCTATCCAGCTATCTATCTTTCTATCTATCTGTGTGTCTGCCCGTCTCTCTGCCTCCCTACCTAGTTTATCTGTCTGCCGATGCATCTATCCATCGGTCTGTCTATCTATTCATCTGTCATTCAGCGTTCTATCTAATATCGCTACTCTACGTTCCAGCCATCTATCAATCTCACCGTTTCATCCACCGATCAACCAGTCAATCAGTCTGCACAGGTTCACAATAATTCCAAAGTGTGCGTTAGGGGATTCCCAAGTAAAGGATAGATACCATGATGGGCTCGAATTAATTCCAAGTGAGCTCGCCATAAATTACGCAGATCAATCAATCAACCAATCAGCCAGTCAATCAATCAACCAATCAATCAAATAAATCAATTAAATCAATCAATCAACCAGTCAATCAATCAACCAATCAATCAATTAAATCAATTAAATCAATCAATCAACCAGTCAATCAATCAACCAATCAATCAATTAAATCAATCAAATCAATCAACCAACCAACCAACCAATCAATCAATCAATCAATCAATCAACCATTCAATCAATCAATCAATCAACCAATCAACCAATCAATCAATCAATCAATCAATCCACCAATCAATCAGTCAACCAACCAAGCAATCAACCAATCCGTCAACCTGCCAATCTATCAACCAACCAACCAACCAATCAATCAATAATTCATTCAATCAATCAATCAATCAATCAATCAATCAATCAATCAACCAACCAACCAACCAACCAACCAACCAACCAACCAACCAACCAACCAACCTTCAACCAAACCAATGAATCAAAACAATCCATCAATCCGTCAACCAAGCTGTGTATCTATGTAGCTATCAATATGCCTATCTACCTACTTACCAATCTATCTAAAGATCTACCGATTTATCTATCTATCCATCTATCTCGTCTATCATCCATCCGTAACCTGATTTTCCAGCTATCAATCAACGCCGTTTGTACCAGCCAGGCAAACTAATGTCGCAACAGCGCGCCCGTGCTAATAGACCCACCTCCGAAAGCTCCGAGGTCGCTGCGAATGCGCTCCGAGGTCGCTCCGAACGAGCTTCGACAAGACGTCGTCGCGATCAGATTCGAAGAAACTGAAAACCGCAGAGAGTGGCATGCGCTCGCTCGCGATTTGTTTTGATTCTTCTCTTGTGTCCTATGAGAGACCTGGCTTTCAAGTAGTTGACGTACCACGGAAGTTCCTTCTCCAGATTCAAATTTCCATTGATGTCACCATTGATTTCATCAACAGCCTCCTTTTAGGCTTCCCCTGAAAACACGCCGGGCTCTGGCTGTCTTTTGGCCACTTTCAAACCGTTCCTCTTCCTTCGTAGCGTAGACGAAGACCCCAAGCTCCGGGCAAGCTTCCAGCACGGCCTTGCTACCCGCGCCTGCCTGCACCTACAGGGCTGGGACTCGCCGCCAAGCTGCTGGGAGACTGAACCCCCTGAGAACATTTTGTCGGTCGAGACCCACAATGCAAAAGGCGATGACAACTCATACCTCATGGTCCTTGACTCACTGCAACTAAACACTCACTCCTTGACCTGTGGTCCTTGACTCATACCTCATGGTTCTCATGGTTCTTGATTGGTAGGATCAAAAGGCCATTCAAAGGGTCAGCGGTCAAAGGTTGAACCTGAAAGAGCCGGAGCCATCCGCCTGCCACTCCTTGGTGCCCAGCAGGTCATGGCTCACCTGTGCAAGTTCAGGGCATGGCCAACCGCAAAAAAGAAAATCAACGCGTAGTACTCTCCCACCAATTAACATGGAACCTGACGTTCGGGAGTTCCTGGAAGACAATTCTCCTTTTAAAGGGACCCCATTTTTAAGCTCCATGTCAATTGGTGGGAGGGTAGAACAGAAACAAAGTTGAAGCCCTCGGGCAACGAAAACATAGACCCCGCCTCCACCAGATGCTCCTCTGCCGGAACCACAAAGTGGCATCTGCCCTCTGCGTCTGTGGCCCCCGAGGCCCAAGCAGGGGATGACTCCTCCGCGTCCGCGTCCGCGTACTCCGAGTGGATACGCACCAAAGCGCCCTCGAGACCCCGGCGGCAGCAGGGAGTTGTCAAGCTCACCTAGCGTGCCAGTTCGGAAATTCCTTGCCACGGGGGTGGAGAAGGCCCTTCCTCCTTTAACAAGCCACTTAACGTTCTCACTTCACAACCGCTGCGCCTTGTTGAAACCACATTTTGGCCACATGCTGGCTGCGTAGCGAAAGCATGGTTGACAATACAAAGGGATAATGGCATCGAGCGGGCAAAGGGAGCAAAGTGCCTGCATGAGGATCATACCCACTTCCTTTTCCAAGTGCCATTGCTGTTCTTGTTGCGCTCTGTTCTATCTGCTAAAGTCTATAGTTTGTTGTGGTTGTTGGTGTGCCGGCGAGGCTTTGGGTCGGTTAAACTTGAGCCACAGCCACTTGCACGACCTAGCCGTAAGACTTCAGACATGTATTCTGGGGTATCACCTCGATAGCAGTTCCCTCAAAAACAAAGGCGAAAGATCATCCACTAGCAACCAACAGCAACCTCCCACAAAAAACCACTTGGGCGCCGACTCGCCAACCAACCCGAGCAAAACAAGGCCGCTATCACCCAAAGCGGTGCCCTTAACTCGAAGCTCGAATCGAATTTCTGACCGTGCCTTGGTGCGCGCCAGAAACCACACATCCACGCAGCTCCATGGCTGCAGCTCCTGGCAATAGTTTTGGGGCACAAGTTTCCCCCCTTTACATAAAGGGAATGGCGCCAATGGTCAGCCCGGTGTACTATGTGGGTAGGCAGCCATTTTCCATTTTTAGTGTTTACAGGGTAGTGTCACTGGTTGCATACAGTGTAGATGAAGTCACTGGGAAAATGACGAGGAACAAACCAAGCCAAGCCAAAGACACAAAACAATAGCACCCTCACACCATAGCAAGCCAAGCAGCAACCATTCCAGGATCCAAACCAAACCACGCCGAAACAATGTCAAAATCAAAACCTGTCAGTGGAATGACCTACCCAACACCATGCAATTGCAAGGGCAGCCGCACCTATTTTCGCACTAGCCCTTAACTTACCTGGGATTACGAGGCTGGACCAACTACATGTGCAACATCATCAAGTTAAACCACCATGGCTCCCAGAAGTCGGCTTCCAACAGACCCCTTGTCCAGCCCAGTCCTTCCACGAACCCCGACAGAAACTTTCAGGTTTGTGACCAATTCTGACACCACTGCCACGGTAAAAGACCAGTGGGCCTCGCAACCACAGAACCGGAGCCGCGGGAAGCCATATCTTCCGGAACCGGTCCGGCAAAAATTAGAATCGCTAAACACACACACACACACACAAAAAACAACAACAGACACACACACACACACCAAAAACAACAACAAACAAACAAAGAAACAAAAAAGTCACGCTTCGCGTCGGACCCGAGCCTCGTCCATCGCCAGCATGCGGCCCGCCTGGAAGGCCCCCAGCGGCTTCTCGGGCCCCAGCTCCTCCGCCAGGCGCGCGCACACGGCGGCCACGGAGCGCCCGTCCGCGGCGGCCAGGCGGAAGGCCAGGCCGTCCGGGTGAAGCACAGCCTGCAGTGGCGCAAAGGTATGGCTTGAGGCCACCGTGGGATGTGAAGCAAATCACGAAATCGCCCAAACTTGAAGAGGTGATGTGAACCATGAAGTCCCTCAAACTTGAGGATGGCGCTTTAGGTTTGCCACGACCCTCCGAGTCATTGAAGGTCTTACCACAGTGAATGACACCTTGGACTACATCATTTCGATGTCCCACCGGGCCAAAGAAGGCTTGATTTGAACAGCACGCCTTTCAGCGACTTGGCTAATACAGCGGTATGCCGACCGCTCTCTGAAAGCCAGTTTGAACGCCGTAAGCTGGTGCACGCACCATCCACAGCTAGCGAAGGATTGATGACCGGTCTATTCACGAAGGAACATAATCATGCAATCCCTGGAAACTACCTCGAACCCACACCTTTTTGCGGCTCGATGCTAGGCTTCACGGAACTTTGTTGGGGCGGTGTTTTGACCACAGCATATGCATGCAACTTTGTATTGCCGGAAACGAACCACGCTTCCAAATCCCTGAGTGAACCCAAATTGTCCATCCATTGAATATGTGCTGCTCAATCTAGTGAGAAGGAAGCAACCTCACTGCCATCTGCAGAACGCAAATGTCCTCAGGTGTTTGCTCAGAACCAGAACGGAACTTCCCTTGAGTCTTGCGACATTGAGCCAAAGATTCAGAGCAGATATGGTGACATCCAGGGTAAAACCATTGGCAACATCAGCTATTTGTTTCTTCTACAGGCCCAAGCTATTCAACTGTCGGGGGGCAAAACCACCCTGAGTCATCATAGCAAACCAATGAGTGTGTGTGTGTGTGTACTCATTCTGCCCCTATAACCCACCACCCCTCCGTCTCTCCGGCGAGGCGCAGTGATGGGTGGCAGAAGGTCGCCCAGGTGCATGGGGCCCTTCAGCAGCTGCCGCCAGTCGGTTTTGAAGCTCTTCTGGCGCCAGACGTAGCCCGTTTGGCTCAGGTCCAGCCTCAAGCCGAAAAGGAACATGGGAGACCCAGAAACGTGGCGAAATTGAGGCACCCGGGCTGAATGGAATGCTCCAAAGCTTTCCAACTGGAAATCCCTTTCCTTGGGGAAGGGCTCACAGGCCGCCGTGCATGGCGTGCTTGCTTCAAGCAATTGAGCGTGCAAGGGACCTCAAATGCAAGCCACGACAGAAGATTCGAGGGTTCACATTCAGCCCTGCCCTCCAAGCAGGCTCTGGACAACCCAGTTCCCTTGAGCAAACCCCAACGGAACTCCCAAGTAAGGGAAACCTCAAAAGGTGACATCCCAAACTAGGGAAATCCAATTGCAAGGATATCAACAAATCTGGGAATCGATTTCAGGGCGATCCCAAGGGAAGCTGCCCAGAAAGTCTGAATTGGCACCGCCTGGGCAGCACTGTTGACTTCACATCTACCAACAGGTCACGGCCAGTTGGCGTGGGACAAACGAGACTTTGTTGGCCTCTGACCTCTTCCAGGGATCTGAATAGCGCCTTCTTTTGGTCTTGCTTTGATTTGTGTGGAGAGAGCAATCATCTGAAATGACAAGGGTAACATTCCCAAAAAATCACATGGTTAACACACTAAAGTAACAAGGCAACACGCTGGGATTCTTGAAGTCAGTGCGTCAAGGACCCAAACCTTCAGTGGCAAAAGGGACAAACAAGTCCCCCATGAATGTGTTGGCCTTTGGATGTCCTTTTCGGGAAACACACCTGTCACCTATCTATGCAAAACATCGACGCAGCGCCAAGGTCGAGGTCTGGTCCTTTTCACCAGGCTGCGCGAGGCTATCTGGCAGGGAGGGGAGGTCCGAGAGATCCACCGGGCGAAGCTCGGCGTCTAAAGCCACCTGTAGGTCAGGGGCCAGCCTCGGTGAAACTGGGCGCGCAAAACCCAGTCCGTTAGTCCTACCAAGATGGTGCGAATGGCTTATATCATATGGCCTTGGGTCAAAAATAGGTACCCAAAATTGGACTCTGGTAAGTGGAAACATGGATTGAAACCTGCGGTCCCCTGGTGGCTTAATTTTGACCCATACCCATATTATCCTACTCCCAGCGAGCAACGAGGCCAGTTTCGGTTGAGTTATGGTCAAACGTCTGCATGTGGGAAGGGGTGGAAGCTGGCACGATCGGTATGTTAGGAATCAAATCAAATCTGAATAATGGCTGACAACGTCAATGTTCTGCCATTCTTGTTGGGAAGTTAGCTTCCAACATTGGAACATAACATATCCATTCACAACTCGAACACTTACAGTACTTGAGAAACCAGTTCTGACGATCCTAGACAGCCGCGAGGGCCACGAAGGCCTGGGCTCTGAGGACATCATGTTTCACACGGTCGAGGTGTCGCAAGCCAAGCCACCCAGGAGTTTTCCCGAACGGATCGGGCCTGGAAGTCTAACATAGGTCCTTGAAACTATGTCTTCTGTGCTTGATGGGCACCGGGTTGCAAAGCCAATCTGAAGGTCCAACAGTTCAAACACATCAGCAGGGCCCGTTGGTAGAGAGACGCCTCTCCCTTGACCCGTCGACGGAGAAGGTTCACTTCAGCACCATGCCATATCTTCCCAAATCAGGCCCATCCCCCGATACAGGCCGGCTATCTGTTAACTCATGCCTCAAACAACATGCTTTGAAGAGCACCTGCACTTCGGGAAGTTGAAACACCCATGCCACCTTTGCTAGGAAGTAAGGAAGCAGTGCACATAGATGTCTTTTTGAACACATAGATGGCACTTTAATAAATGATTCGAACCAAAGGGAAACCAGTGCCATCTACTTTCAAACAAACCTAAAAAGGCCACCTACGGCAATGAAACTTCCCGTAGCGAGCGGTGCAGAATTTCGCGCTTCGAGCCGGGCCGCGTCAGCTGCCCCTGCACCGGCAAGGCCGCCGCCGGCAGCTGCCGACGCTTGGCGCAGAGCCACACCTTGGGCGCCTCCTGAGCTCTGTCACCGTGAGCCCCAAAATCTATGAGATGATCGAAAAACTTGCTAAGCCCAACTAGCCAAGACATTGGGATGGAGTGCCCAGCTAATTTTCCAGGGGGCTATGGTGGATATGGATGCTAATTACTCAGCCCCTGCGAGTGGCACCTCTCCAGGAACAAGCCCCCCGACAAACTCCGGAAATAGCCCGAGTACTTGGCCCAATACCAGCGGGCACATGCTTGCGATTAACTTCGAATTGGTTGGGAGCGGCACAGAAACCGTCACAGAAACATTGGGAAAACCCAATGTTCGCCACCGATTCTGGTTGAGAAATCAGCAGCGTCTGAATGCCACATCTGGCGTTCTTCTCCCTGCCTGCAGCCCCTGCTTCAAGAGGTTCCTCCCAAGCCCGTCAACTAAGGCCCAAGACTTAGCAAGTAACAGTAACGTTTACAAGCTCTCTCGATCAAGACACGTCCATGTCTTCCCAACACGCTCCTCGACCACCTGGTACACAAAGATCTGCGGCCTGACATCAACTGCGGCGAAGGCATAGATGTCTGAGATGTCCACCTGGCGAAGAATGTGATGTGAAAATCAGCTCAGCGCCCCTCCAAATTGCAGCACTTTCATGCCGGTCACCTTTCCAATCCTTCTGCAATGGTCTAACATGGTCCGTCATTCGGTATTCTACCCTGAGATTGGGCGCAAACAGCCAACCAAGGTCCCAACGTGCTGTCAATCGGTCCTGGATTGAGTGAACATGTTGCAAAACGTCAACCGACTGAGGCTGAAACCAGCCTTTGCATGGCATCGGAGGAAAAAACAAGTAGATGCAATAGACCCTTCAAAGCAGTTTGAAATCACAAACAAACAAACTAACTAACTAACAAACTAACTCAAACAAACAAACAAACAAACAACCAACCAACCAAACAAACAAACAAACAAAACAAACAGCAACATAAAACACAGCACAACACAAACAAACACAAACGCAAACACACAAATGTATCGGGGCGTAGCTCGTTCTCGGAGTTGTGCTCCACGTGTCAAGATCAGTCCCACAATATCCAACAAACTGACCACACACACATACATACGTATTCATATACATATATAATATATGTATGCTGTACATGGCATGGAGAAGAAAGTGCCATTTCTTGGATATAGCTTGTGGGGAAATCGGCAAACACCTGACAAGAAGTGGATCAACCGGCAACAGAGCTTAGGTGGTCACTCCCTCTTCCCCAAACGCGGGGTGTATCTCAACCTACTCCTCCAAATGGATGGTTCCTTTGTGTTCCAAGCGGGGGCTCGCTGCGACAAACCACTGGATGCGACAAAATCCTTTCCATGAAAACCTTGCCTTGAACGGAAGGCCTGTTTCCTTGTAGCCTGACCGCTTCCCCTGTTCGCCAATGGAAGCCTCCAGTTGCTCGGCTTCGAAGCCATGGTCCACGCGAAGCTTCTGCCTGAGCAAGCTGCCGGGCTATGGTGAAACCAAACGCTGTAATTTGCAGCTTCATCCCCGGTGAAACAGTCAACGCCTGATAACAATGAAAGAAAGGTTTTGGCCCGAATACAAAATGGTGCATGCACCCAAAGGTGCAATTCCTTCATATTGAGTTTATGCACACTTAGCAATACAGAAAAATGTGTAGTATATATATATATATATATGTATATATATATATATATCTTGGGGTCGGGCATAGAAAACCTCAGCCCAAGGTTCTTAATCTGGTAGAGGTGCAAATAGTTGCATGGGTTTGGGGCTAGTCAATGAGGGAACTACCCAAATCGTGCACTGTGTAACTGTTTGCATGAAAATAGACATACAAACACACGCGAATGGATAAATATATATATATATATATATATATATACACAGAAGTGTGCTCATGTTGTATGTACACACATCTACATGTATACACGTACATATGCACGTGTGTTTAATACATCTATACTTACGTTATATGCATAAACGAATCTAATCCATATTTTCCTTTATACTATACACGTGTGGTGTGTAAATATGATGTGTTTGGGGCGGAGCCCGGGCCGGGCCAAAAGAAACGAGAAGCAAAACGTCTGCTGATATTTGTGAATGGACCACGTGGTTTTAGGGCCATGACACGACAGCCCAATCCGAGTCCGGGGGCTTTCCGTGGCCCACGAACATCTCGCAGAAGCCTTGGCCGTCGGTGACTGCGGGCGGGAAGTGGCCCAAGCGCACCTGGCGGAAGCCAAGCGGAAACAAAGCGGAGAGGGAAGTTAGCTTATCGAGTCTGCCAGCAAGCACCTGGCCAAGTTGGGCACTTTGGGCGGAAACTCGAGGCCAAAGACCCCGATAATCTCAGATAGTTCCTGGACAATTAACATTATTACTTGTCATATATGTATATATATAATTGTTTACTTGACTGGGACTAACTAGTCTGAATAACCATAATTTACCCAAAGGACCTGGAACAGGCAGGGTCTTCGACTCACCCACCAGTCCGCCATGTGAAGCCCTCTCAAACACTTGCGAGCGTTTGCCTGCTATGGACCAAGGGCCTTTCTGACAGCTTCTCGCATCCTGTTCAAGCACGTCAACCAGGAGTCCAGCATCGCTTCGCTTGCACCCACCTAGCTGACTTCCGACTTCTGCGCACCCATGTTTTGTCTTGCTGGTGCTCAGTGGGGAATGAAAAAATGATCCTGGGGATTCCCTTATAGGAAACCACCAGTTGGATGGGTTTGTAAGGCTCATTCCATGTCTCATTCCCTGAGCGCCAGCAAGTGCTCCAATCTCGCCATGGGTCAAAATCCGCAAATACCCCCAGTGAACCTCCGATTCAATCCAACCACTAAAATAGGTTCTAAAATGAGTGGTGAATTCACCTACCCCAAAATGGGATCCCATTGGTTTTGACAACCACAGCCAGAGAGAGCGCCCTTCCACGTGCCTCCACCCCCGCCACACCCAGCTGCCCGAAGCGCAGACGCACGCTGAGGCGGCACAAGAGCTGCAGAGGCTCTCCAAAGCGCAGCACCGCGTTTTCCGGGAGCTGCGGGACCTCGGCTTTCAAGGGCTGTGGGCCCCAGGAGCCGTCAAAGGGTTTTTGTGTTACACCCTGGGATTCCAAGGATTCCAACCTTGGAACATGACCCAACATGCTTCAAAAGAAGGGCTAAATGTTTTCCGGAAATGTGCCTAAATGAAGTCATCCACCAGGTGTAATCCCAGGTTGGCAGGGCCTAGGGGATAAGTATGGAGCCTTGAAGAGGCCTGTAATGAACTGAAACCAGGATGAACTGAGTATTCACACCTCCCTAAAACCCCTAGACAGTGGCTTTTCAGAAGGTCTGGCGTTCACAACTACCATCCCCAGCCCTCTCTTCTCCCATCTCCTGCCGTTTTGCCGCGCCACCCCCGGCGCCGACTCCGAAGCCGCCGCTGGCGTTTCCGCCAGCGCGAGGTGGACCTCCGGCAGCTCCGCGCGGAGGAAATCCGCGGCCTCCGCCACGGTGCGGCAGGAGGCCAAGGGCACCGCCAGCGTCTGCCCGCCTAACCCCCGAAACCCCCGGAGAGTCGACCCCTTTGGACCTGGGTTCGACCGGAACCGCCATGTCTTAGGGTGAACGGGTGCCAAGCGCACAGGGAACAAGGAATGGGCAATTGTTGCTGCCTTTTTGGCCGCGTATGTTGTGGTATGTTTCTTGTCTGGTGGTTTCGGGGGTTCCCGTTGTCGTAATTGTGTGATCCAATAAATAAATTCCGATATGTTGCGCTGATCAGTGTTCAAGAGTAAGTTGAGAGCTTACACCGTGCTGGAAGCTTCACTGACACTCTTGGGCCATCAGAACTATAATTATGGGCCAGTCTGAATTCAGTACTTGCCACGGTCACGGGCAACGCCTCCAAACACTTCTACAGATTTGAAGGCATGCTGGACATTCGATGGTTTTCAGTGTTCACCCTCTTTGTCTCGCAAGCCTTTGCTTTTCCAGGTTTATCTGAAAAACTAACCGGTTCTTGGGTTATGTTGGGTTCCATGTATGAGACTCAGTTGTTCCACCAATCCTTTGCACACCCTTTGTGCCACTCGAGTTACTAGCAGAAACTCGAAGCGCCAAGCCACGCGATGATATGTCACGGTCCTGTTGGTTCAAACTTCATCGTTGTGCGGATGGGCACAACATCTCTCTTGAGCGGGCACATCAGTAGAGCAAGCAACTTTTTGATCTGCATTGCTACATTTGAGAGCACCCTTCATCTTGCAAGCCTTGTCCCAGTTGACGATCATGCATCAGATCATGCCAAGCCAGCTTCCGTCATCCGTGACTGGCCTGCAAGAACAAAACAAACAATCACTGCACCTGCTGACAAAAGCCAACCCCCAGAAACAGCACGCAGCTTTACAAGTATGGGAAACCAAATCACTATAATGTCCACCCTGCACCTGCAAATTCTGAGGCTTAAGAAAGGATTAGGAAAAGATATGAAAGTAAACAAATATGATAGACACATTATTTACTCCGGATATACCACGTCTGGAGATCCTTGAAAGATAGGTACAAAATAGTTTCCAAATCCTCCAACCACGCCAGGCAATACTAAAAAGAAGATCATCAGAAAGCCTTGGCAAAGACCTCCTAAGTTGACGTCAAAATTTGACAATCTTCAGCACGGAACAGCAACATTGTACCTTCCCACTAACCAACATTCAACCCCAAAAGAAGGTCTCGTTCACATCCAAACCAGCAACTTCGCCCTTTTCCGGGGCGTGACCAGCCCACCCAAGCGAGGCCCAGCCCATCCATCTCGAACCAGGCGCTAGGATGCCGCACCTCCACCTGCGTCGAACAGCCGCTGGCTTTAGGCGGCGTTTAGCGTGTCTTGAAAGAACCAAAGGTAAATCACCAACCTCGAAATGCAAATGAACGACCCACAAAAACAACATATGTTTGGAACAACTGACAATGACAGCAACTCTAGGTCTGGAACAAACGGTTGGCCGCATTTGGATGGATGGGAACCAACATGAAAACCGCCCGGAGGAACTCCTTCCATAACAAACGGCTAAATGAAGTCCGGGTAAGATTAGTGATTAGTGTCAAACTTTGGCAAAATGCTTGCAAAGGCCTTGGCAGCTTTCCTGTGCGACACCAGAACAGCAGGCGTGATCCGGGAATTCTTGTGTTCCGCCTTCATTTGCTCAGTCAGTCGGGCTCACCATTGAGGGGTCCCAATGTGCCGCCGTCACACTTCTTCCGAGTTGCGCCTTGCCATCCAGCACATCCGCCAACATGAAGGCCCCTTCTGACTCCACCTTCAAGCCTTGACTTCCATTTCACCCATTCCAAAGCCAAATTCCAGCTTTTATCATCACATCAAACACGTGCAGGCCACCCAAACCCAACTCCCTCCCTGCCCCTTGACCCAACCCGCCTGGGGCTGCAGCCGCGCCAGGCTCTGCGCCTCCCGCGTCAGCTGGCCGAAGCCGCAGCCGGCGGCAGCGCCGCTTTGGGGCCAAGGCACCCACAGGAGCCCCGGCAGCTCCGCGCGGGCGCGACACAAAGCCGACCTGAGGCACGGGGGCGCAGTGAGGAATGGGATCTCAAGAAGGCGAGTCAGAAGTCAGTCGGTTTCCCTCAGTTATCCCTCGAGATTCGTTCGATGTGGCAGAGTGTACTGAGCCGTGAGGCCTCACCAAGGATCGTTTTTCCTGTTTTTTGTCCTGTTTTGTTGCTTCCTTGTTTATTTTTCCGAATAAGTTATTCCCACAAACGGGACACTCCTGCAATCGGTGCTTTTATTCAAAAGCAATCCAAAGCCACCCAGCGGGAGTGCCCAATTTTGTCTATTCAGGTAACAAAACATGGTCACTTTCTTCACACACACACACACACGCAAACAAGCTCCGATCGGCTACCCCGCTTCTGAAGCTGAGCCGCATGGGGCAGCACCGCATGGCGTGCAACTTGGAGGTAAGCTTGCCGTCCACAAACCGGTACTCCTCACCCTCATCGCCCACCAGAAGCCCGGAAAAGGGCTCCGCATCGACTGGGAGCAAGACGGACTCCCCATCACCCGCCAGGACCTGAAAGATCTGTTCGCCTTCCCCTGGCACCAGGAAGGCACGGACCAGGGGCTGCAACAAGAGGGGCAGCTCTGCCTGGCAACCCTCCGAGCAGATCAGGTAGTCACAGGCGCCTCCTGTGACAGCTGCATGGGTCACGGTCACCACCTGCTCGCCAGGCTGGAGCGCCAAGCTGCAGCACCCCTGGGAGTTGGTGAATTGCAGGTCACCTTCCATGGCGACTTCCACGCCGCGCAGGGGCTGGCCGCAGCACAGGGTCTGCGCAAAGACGAGCAGCTCCTCAGTTCCTGTCTCCTCCGTGTCCGCGCGGATGCCCAGGCAAAGAGAAGCCCACAGATCGCTGGATGACCTGGTGATCATCTGCCTCAAAGGCGCAAAGGGGGGTGCGATTGAATCCAAGAATTGGCGGAAATGGAAAGAGGGACCTAACTCCTAACCAAACTGGTGTAAAGCAAAAGCAACGCATCGCAAGCACTTCATGGTGATTCCCGCTGGGAGCCAGGTGAGTACCCCCGTTTCCTGTATCATGTAGCCACTTATCGAGCGTGCCCCGGAGTATAGGACGGAACATTGACAGTGGCTCACAAATTTGGGAATGAACACAAGTCATTCAGCAGCTCTCGCAGAAACGCCGCTCCAAGCTGAACGTTCGCAGCTACGAGAAACTCGCCTGGCATAGGGCGGCTCCAGGCAGCAGGCGGCGAACAAGTCGGGGCCAGTGCCGAGCTCAGACTCCGCACCGTCCAGATCGAGGTGCCCGTCCTGCACCTGCCAGGGTTGTCGGGTTGTCCTGTCCAGCTTCAGGCATACCAAGATCTAAGAGGAAACCAATTCTTTTTGTTGTGGAATAAACATAATATGTGTATATGTATATATATATATGTATATGTCAATAGATATATAGTATGTATTACACTAGATCTACTATCATAAACCGCGCAATGTACATGAATATACTATATAGGCACATGTCTTTCTTCCACTCCTTTGGTTTAATCGATTCAAATTTTGCAACCAGCACCTGGCGGACTTGCCCGAAGAGCCGCACCGGGCCAGAGAAGGGCTCGCAGTCCTGGGGCTTACGAGACGTCTCCGATGGCGCCGATGGCCACGTGCCATGGGGCGTCGGAGGGGGTCAGAGATGACTTGGTTCAGACTGGGAACACCAAAGGCTGGTCATTTGAAGAATGTAAGATGCAAGTGGAAGTGGCGAAGTGGCGAAGTGGCTCAGCGCCATGCAACAACACCTATTCAACCATGATTCAAAGGTGTACTCTGGCAAGTCCAGGCTGCCTTGCAAGCCCCAAACAAGCCACGAACAACAGTAGTGTCAGACAAACCTCAGTTCAAACAATCCAGCAAAAAATGATCAAGCATCTTCAAACATGTACGCGAGGCATATGTGCTGCAAAGCATGCAGAAGCAGCACAAACTGCACCTTCGAAAAGAGAGGCTTAGACAAGGCAAAACAAGCCCCCATGTCCAAAAGCCAACATGGAACATGCTCGTGGTTTGAACCATCTTCCTTTCAGGAGGGGTCTCGTGTCCGTTTCCTCATGGTTGCTTTCGGAAGGACAAGTGCTTGCAGGATTTGTGGGATCCGAATCCTCAAGTATCATTCTGGGAAAGGGCTGCACAGCTTTGCAGCCTGACATTTCGAACCCGTCGACCCCTTCCACCACTTGGACCCGTGCGACCCGTCCCCTGGCTCCTCCCTCAACGGGCTTTTGCAGCCCACCCAGTACTCCCAGTACCGGTCGTGCAGCCGGCGCCGCCAAAGCGACACCTTCCGGCTGGCTTCTTTGAGTCCATCCGGGCCACGTACCACTGGAGTAGCTCCATTGGCCGTGCTGTTTGGCCCTTCTCCAGATAAAGAAGCAGCATGACCCCCCAGCTAGTGTGTCAAGTGTGATGCCTCGGTCTTGTCAACATTTCAATATGTCTTCTGGGGATACGTGCATCGGAGGAAGTCAGGCAAGTAAGAATCAAGCCGACAAAGGGGCCAAGATCATGCACAGGACACCTAGCTGCCGGCGGAGGGATTGGAATGCGTCAGTGGCTTTCACCAGGAAAAGTGGCTTCGGTGCTGCCATGTCAACAAGAGATGAGATCTTTGAGAAGGACGCATGAGCAGCTTGTCAGCTTGATGATGGAAATGAGCATTGGAGACCCCTCTAAAAATGATTAAACATGTGTCATTTCCCGCCAGCGTACGTTTCACTCACCGGAGTCACCAAACCAGGGGGGGCTCCTTGACTTTTCCCTCTCTTTTTTCAGCACAAAAGAACAAGACCAGTTTCAAACTTGCCGAGTCCTTTGGGTTTCACCACCCCACGCGTTGAAACCGAGGGTTCGGAGCGGGCGCCTCCAGAGGCACAATCAGCTCCACCTCCTCACGGGTCTCCAGGAGTTGCTCCCGCCAACTGGAGCAAAGCCTGGAAGCTGAACAGAGCTTGCTTGCTTCCCAGGGAATGACACCAGAATCCAGGTATTGGAAGACACCACAGTTGTAAGATTCAAAACTCCCGTGAGGCTTTTCAACAGCTGGATTCTATGGACAAGCATTCCAGCAAACAAAACACCAAACAAGTGACACCTTGGTGATTGCTTAAGTTCAGCGAGACAATCATTCCAGTCTTGGTCTTCAGGTTTCGCGCAAGCTCCAGGAATCTCGAGCCCGGCTAGCGGCTAGCCTCTCATGGCGCATGCGCAGCTTCTGCTTCCCAGGCCGAAGAATCAAGGAGCAGCGGCCATTCGCATCCTGAAAACCAGGGAAGGCAAAACCAATGAAATAAATGAAATGCGGATCCTCTTTTGGATAGTATTTGAAGGAGTGCCAAATGGACACTGCATCCGTATCGTTCACTACATGGCATTCAAACAAAACCTAAGTGCCGCAACAAATGCCAATGTGAGCCATTTACCCAAACTACAAGGGTGTGGTCCCCTTTCATCTACATAACTTTGAACCCAGCTGGAGCGCGTTCGAGAAACTTCCTGTTGTCCGCATGAAAGCACTTTGCAGTCAAACAATGCTCTTGGGTGTTTCTCTTCTTTAGATTCAAATCCCAGGTGGCTAGCAGCAAACAAGTTGGCACAGCTGGATACATCACCTCTCTGCAACGAAGCATCGGTCTGCGCCATTTGCATCTCCTCGGTCTCCAGCTTTACCTGCGTCCCCAATGAAAGGCAACACGGTGCGGGTGGGTGGCTGGCCTAGCCAGCAGTGACTGAGGTGGAAATCAAGATGGTTGAATTATCCATGAGGTACCATGGTTAGCTGGCTTGGTATCCCTATGATTATTGTTACTCCATACTTGAGTCGCATGGTGATGTTTAATCTGTGTCTTGCTGCTGCTGCTCTGCTGCTACCGCTGCCGCTCCAGCAGCAAGTGCTGTTGTTGTCGTTGTGATTGTCGTTGTGATTGTCACTCGTGTCTTGGCTTGTATGTTGTCGTAATCTGTGTTGTGGTTGCTTGCTATTAATGCGTTGTGGTTGTGGTGATGCTAGTGGGCAGTGGCATTCGCGCAGGTGCGCAAAAATACATGAATGCGTAGCAAATGAGGCATGACTATCACGCGATATGAGACACGGATTGAGCCCTGCTTCATTGGTGGGATCCTTTGCTTGCCCCCCCTCCGGCTGTTTGCTTTGCGTGCATTTCAGAAATCCATGGAACAACCCCTCCCCCACTCACCGGGAGCTCACAAAATAGGGTCACCTATTAGGACCCTCATGTTTTCCCGCACGCCCCAAGTGCCGAAAGCGGTCCATGTGAATCCGACCTCGGGCAATGGCAGGTCCCAGTGAGGCACCCGAATCCGCAGCTGCACCGTGGGCGCCCGCAGCAGAGCTAGCTCGAAGCCCCCCCGCCGCAGGTCCTGGCGAGCCCATTATCATGGGGGCTGGGGAGGGAGGGAGAGGAGGGGAGGGGGAGGGAGCCGAACAAAAAACCTCATTGAGCCCTTATTAAGGCCTTACTGAGGCCTGATTTAAGGCTTACTTGGGCTCCCTCCCCCTCCCCCCATGCCCCCATAACACTAACCAACAGCACTACCACGAACCAATTTGTCCAAGAAGGGTCGAAAAGTCAACGTGAGCAATAGGTCTGTGACCAATTGCTACGACATGTTGATCTGATCGGTTGGTGTAAGAATGAAGAACCAGTGGGTTCTCACCATTGAATCATTGGGGCTTAATTGTTTGAGGATGGAATGAATGGACCCTCTAGCTGTGGTTTGAAAGCAACGCGTAGAGATGAAGTCCTTTGCTCGAAGGGAAGGACAGGGATGTATTGGCATCTAGATTTGAAGCATGCTTGATGGGAACCTGTTAACATGTTGTACTTGGTGGAATGCAATGTGGTTGCAAGAAGGGGAGCCAGCGCTTCATTGCAGGGCTGCAGCCCACATACGCACGCGCACGTGCACGTGCACACGCACACTCACAAGCACAAACAAACAGACAGACAGACAGACAGACAAACAAACAAACAAACAAGCAAGCAAACAAACAAACACACAAACAAACAAGCAAACAAACGAAGACACACTCACACACGGAATACACGCACCTTGGCCGCTATTCTGTGAACAATTGTATAAAGTTGATGCCTTTGCTGCTCCAATTAACCTTGAATGTAAATGTTCAAATTCATCATGACTGAATGCGCACTAAATATGGGGCCTGAGTCAGGTGGCTCCAAATTTCAACCCCCGAGATGATCTGGTAAGGGATTGCTGAACTTTCTTAGCAGTGCGCATTTTTCAAACAACCATACATAGCGTTGTCATGCCACAAAACAAGAACCGACTCAACACATGACCAAACCCCGCATTTAAATCAAATAATTTCCCCGGGCTCACTCGTGTTTATCCTGAAAAGCCAAGCAACGCCCGACAGCGTCCCCTTCCCCAAGCCCCGCACCCCCCGACCCCCCGACTGGACTCGTCTCCTGCAGGGTGCGGCCCAGGACCTGGCGATGCGGCGCAGTGGGGTGGTAGCCCGGCGCCTCCACCCACGCCACCAGCGCCCCCAGGCGCAAGGCGGGGCAGAGGCCAAAGGCCTCCACCTTGGGCGTGTCACATCCGTGGTACCGAAGAGAGCATGCAGTCCAGGGACAAAAGGCATTTTGAAGGGGCTCCAAGACACATAAAGCCAACTCAGCAAATCCGGCAGCGCAGAGCGCGGAGACCCAAGGCTTCGCTTGCCAGGTGGCGGCCTCGGGCCGCTCTTCTAGCTCCCGCAGGAAGGGGCAAACCGCGGACTTCGGCACGGTGACGAGGGACTCCGACGCCAGAAGCACCTCCCCCAACTGCAGGCCATCCTGGAAGGCGTGAAGCTGGATGAGTCTCGAGCTGCATTTGTTAGCAGCCCTCTGAGTGTGATGGAACATGAAGGTGAAGAGGTCAACCCCTGGCCACTTCCTCTTGTGGATGGTCTGCCTTGAATCTTGCAACCAGAAAGCAACAATTGCCCTGCAGTTTGCAGCGTCCAATTACATTTCAGGGGTGTGCCGTTTCAAGTGCAAGAGTCCGGTCTTCTGAAACAAGCCACCCGGGTGTCGATGACCCAGTTGACAGCTCGAACATCGAGGCAGTGGCTTCTGAGAGTCACAGAGTCACAGAAAGACGCTCTTTGTCAATTTCATACTTCAATCTTCCTCTTGAAGCATGAAAGGGAGGCGACTTTGAATTGGCCCAAACAGTCAAGGCGAGGTTTTGAAGTCCGAGGGGGGGCGGGAAAGAACCTCGAATGCCCGCCTCAGACCGGCGGGCAATCTGGAGCGCAATCCCAGGAGCTCCCGAGTCGCAGGAGGTAACTGTGGCCTCGCCGAAATACCGCGAGGTGGACCCACCAGCCCGGAGCACTCAACCAAACGGGTCCATCAGTCTGCCATGTTGCGAGAACCGGACCCATCCAAGGCTACAAATACGTCCCTTAATATCCGAGGTGATGCTTCGCTGAACATATCCATTCGCAGATGAGGCTATGGGTCAAATTGTCAAATGCTCGCATGGCTTGGAAAGTCCCGCCACGGTACCGCAAGGTCCCATGGCAAGCTCGAAAGCTCGTTGGGGTTAAGGCACCCCATTGGGACCACCTCCTCTTCAAGTTTGTTTCTTGTCTCGCAAAGAGGGTCAAAGGCGTTTTCTGAGTAATTACCAAGGTCTTCACCAAGTAACAACAATCCAATAACGAGGGTTTGTCAGCCCTGAATCTATCCTGCTTCATTGTGCTAAAATTCGAGCTTTGCAAGTTCCCTCCGCCAGGAAGAAGCGTGAACATCCGACCAGAATTGGCAAAATTGGTGGCATGATAGGGCAGGTGAGTGTGTGGGTGTCTTCTCATGCGGGCGTCGCAAACAAGCAACCACGCAATGGACTGCTGGTGCTTTGAATGCGCACGGAGTCAAACCGCAAGATCAACACAGCACACAGATCTCACATGAGCCGTGTGGAATGCTTTGTCTGCTTTCTGAAGGTTGGATTTTACGGTGGACGAATCCCTCCCCAAGACGCTCAGCAGGAATATGGTCATGGTCCGAGACATTCCTTAGGGCCTAGCTCGTGGTTCCTTCAACTGCAAATGTAACCTCCCCATTCCTTCAAGGAACCCCCTTTTCAGAAAGAGGCCCCATGATTGAACTCGGCCCGTAAGGACAAAATGCTTCAGCAGCCTCTTTCCCTTCAAGCATACCAAGCTTGATCTGATGCCACATGCTGCAAGAGCAAACACCAACCCACCCATTCACCCAACCAACAAACCAACCAACCAATCAATCGATCGATCGACCGATCAATCAAATCAACCAATGAATCAAATCAGGTGATGCAAACCCGCCTCCAGGATCCCCGCGGAATCTGAATCGGCCAGTCGCGCCGCGAGGGCCGGGAGGAGGGCCCGCGGATCGCCGTCTATGCGGCACTGCAGCAAACTCGGCTCCTACCAAGACCGGCGCGCAGAAGAAAGAAAACATGAACGCGTGAAATATTCGGCCAAGACATGAACCAAAGGCTATTGGACCCGGAGTTATCAATGTGGTTGTCAAACTCCCTTCTCAGGGGTTTCTCAGTGACTCCAAGTGCGCAGGGCTTGGGATGTGTCGCACTTCTTGAGAGGTTTGGTCCGGTTTGGTAAATTGGCTGAGCTGCGAGGAAGCCGTAGAGATTTGAAGGGTTCCTTCTGATTTTTGGCCAACCAGACCATGCCATGAGGTTGATGCCATGAGGTTGATCCCTTCCCTAACCCTCTCGGCCGCTGCTTCATGTAAGAGAATCAGAAAGGCACAGCAGCTAGGGCGACGACATCTGGCTTCTGATTAAGTCTTGGCGTCGTGCAACAACTGGAATGGATCATGTCTTTGGACAATAACTGCTCTTGGAACCTACAGAGTGCATTCGCCCATTTCTGGAATCGTCACAAACTCACTTCCTTTGAGAGTGACCAGTGCTTCACTACCGGTTGCACATAGCAAGCTCACATATGTAGCCAACCAGTACTTGTTACAACTGTTCAAAGTCTTTGTGTCACTTCTTGCGGGAATGGCGGGAATTGCAGCAAATCGAATCAGTCCATGAGCTGTTTTGGGCTTATTGCATCATTATGAGACATGTCGTAAAATGCACAGGAAGTCAGGCTGATTTGCGAATCTTTGCAAAAACATTCTGCGCACCTCCTTTTGCAATTGGCTGCGGTAGTGCAAGCTGAGAAGCGAGACAGGATCATTTCTTCGTCAAGTGCTAGGTCTCAGCAACTGGTTACAGTAAGCCACTTCCTGCAACACCTGCAGCAGCAAAGCAATGCATTTGGATGTTGCAGTAATACCAGCAAAACCAATACCAGCATCACCCATGTTCAGCCACGTCTGCACAGCATCAAAATCGTCACCATCAAGAAGAGCAACTCCAACATTAGAAAGCCATACGAACCAACACCAGGGGCGCCTCAACCTCAAGCCCAGCCTCAAATTAAACATCAACAACAGCAACAGCGTCGAACGCAAGGTCACCCTCTTCACAACACAGCACAGGAGACACGATTTCACCCCGTGTCATTGCTTTAGCAGGGAGGGGCAAAATTGAAGATCGAGTATTGGAGGATGCAAACACGGGTCTCGTCGCCCTATTCAAGACTCAACAAAGCAATGATCATATTCGGATTTGGAGCGAAACAGCTCACATGCCCGAACAATGATCCTCCGCCAGTCAAGCCCAAGCCGTGGAGCCTGGACCATCCGTCCTGCTCTGGAAAGATGGAAAACCTCTGGAGCACCCTGGTGGAACCGATGCCCTGCAAAGTCGCTGGCTTCGGCTTTCCATGCGGAACTGCAGATTGGCACAGCTCCTGTAGACCGAACGCTCAGTGCATCTCAGACATGCGAACCACGGGACTTGTCTTGAGATGTTCCATAGCTTCCTTGGCACCTTGCCCGAAGAATCCAATGTACCCACATCATTATTTCAAACGGGGTGTTTCAAGAAGCGGTTCAGTCTTTGTGGAATTCCACACCTTGTCCTTTGTAGTCCGCTGGGTATTCCTAGCTTGCTTTTTCCCTGGTTTTTCTGATGGTTGCCCCATGGTTTGCCAATTTGTGGCCCTCCTTTTCATTTGGTGTTTTTCCCCATGCCGTTCCATGGTTTCCCCTAGGAATTGCTTGGCACAAGGCACCATTCAGGTCAGGACAACATAAGAAGAACCACTGGAGGAGTCATTTAGCCTGCATATTGGGTGAGGAGACCTCAATAATAAAACAGATGTGAGAAGCACTATGGTTGGACCTTTACGGCAACAACTTGTCAAACCTGCCTGCATGTGTATATACATATATATATATATGTTTGCTTCATACACCCAAACTAATTGCAGAAAATAATTTCCAAAATTCCACCAAACATGATATTCAACAACTGCTAAACAAACCGAGACTCCTGCCGTCTGTTCATTGGGAAAAAGGGGCGCAGACTCTGCGCACAACTTGTTCCTGAAGGTCAGTCAAAACAACCTTGTCTCGGTCTTTGATGGGATACTCCTAAGATAACAAGGACCCGCACATGCAAGTAGCGTTTCTGATTCCACTTGCCTTTTGTCACGACAGAATGGGCGAAGCATTGCGACCAACAAGTCCGCAAACAATTGGTCCAACACTTGATCAATCCTCAATACCCCTCAGGCCTAAACTTGCCCAAACCATCTGAAAACAAAGGTTCACTCTTTCAAGCCTCCACTAAGCATGCACAAAACAGAATAAACCCCAAAAACCCAAGACGTCAGCTTTGTGCGAAAAGAGCATCAGCTCCTCCAGCCATGGCTTCATCTCCTTCGCCCGCGCGTAGGCGCGCGCGAGCTTTTCCCCAGCGCTGGCTGCGTCACCCAGCGCCGTGTCACGCTGCTGCAGCTCCCGCCGCAGCGCTTCGCAGAGCGGCGCCTCCGAGCATAGCCTCCGGCGAGACGTCTCGCGCGCGACACAAAAAAATGGCACGGTGAAAGGCGATGTTTCGAAGGGTCCCGACTTCCCGCACCCAGGTGCAAGTGCCTTTTTCAGCATGGTCGTTTAGGAGTTGGACGAGGTCGAAGATGGTAAGAGTGCCTTCCTATAGAAGTCTTTGGACCCTGAAGGGGCATCAGTCCTGGCTTCTGGAGCTCTCCGCCACAAATCACTGAAAAGAAATAGCTTCTCTCTGAGCGTCATGTTGGTATGTAAGAAGCTTAGCAGCCTGAAAAGCGCCTCAGTGCATGTCAGCCGAGCCAGGACAATTCGGAACATGCAGCTCACGACAAAACGAGAGGTCTGGTTGGCACACGGGTCAACTGGAGACGAGGAATGGATTGCAGAAACGGCCAGGGTATGCTTCGAATCTGGGGGCCAAACGTGGCTCAACACCTGCAAAGCGCCTCCTTGCGTGCCCTTCCTCCCTTTCCGCACACTTCACAGGCCCAACTGCACTCTCTGCACATGTTAAAGCGCATGTTACTGCTTTGTTTGCCAAGGAACGGATCCATGTTTGTTGAAACACTTTCCAGTGCTACACTTGGCTCGGTTCGTGCTTAGTTCAAATCACATTCATGGAATTAGATAAAGGCAAACAACACTTGAAATATGTTATTCACAAAAACCAGAATAGATTAGGAGACAACATATACTTTCGATAGGAAATGCTTTCCAAACTGTTGTTTGCATAGAGTTGCATTAGAATGTAATTTGAACTGCACGAGGACACGGACTTGATTGATTTGGACATTAATTGCAGATCGCCATTTAGAAAGGAATGAATTGCTTTCCCCAAACTTGAAGGATGATTTCCTTGCACAACGATAGGAGTAAAAAACGATAGCAAAGCTGCTGCAGGCACGTTGACGGTGCCAAAGCGTACTTTGCGTACTGCTCTTATAATGAACAGTTGCGCGGCTTAAGCTGAAGCTGCCAAAGCAGACTGCGCTCTCGGCTAGTGGATGAGATTCACTATTCAAGATTTCGTTTCCTATGAGATTCAAGATCCAATATGCCGGAACAAGGATGTCTCGGGAATCTTGAATTTTCGGAACATGGACACATATACACGTTTGGTAGGTGTTCAGGGGGTAGCATACAAATGTGTATATATATATATATGTTGTAAAATATTATATATAATACATGTATATATATATATATATGGGTCTCAGTTTAGGGTTACTTCGTCGGACGCAACCAAGAAGCCGCTGTAGCTGGAGGATCTCGTTCAGCTCACCCTCACCTGGAGACTAAGATGGCAAGAATGCGCCCTGCCCGCCCTGGTCCATGGATTCACTGCAAACGTCACATATATCTTCTGGTCCATGGAAAAAAGCAAGGGCTCTCACATATCGGGAAAAAAAACAAAGCGGCGACTGAAGCCTAGCAGTGGCACCAGAGTCCTGCGGCTCGGACTCAAAGTCCTTGGCTTTCCACCGCGCGCGGGCGGCTGTGAGGTACGTCTCCACCAAGCCCAGCGCCTGCGAGCGACCGAGCCGGTGCCCAGTGGCCATCGCGCGCAGGGAGCTCACGAGAACACGACGCGCAAACTTGTATGCCTCAGTTTGACAAAACCGCAGTGACAAGAAAACAAAAGGCGTGGCTCAATCAAGCCCAAATTCAGAGTGATTTGGGAGAACACCGACCGACTCCATTCAATCCAGATGAACACAAGGGCCTGTCAATTCGATGCCTCCATGATATCGCGGATCATGTAAACAACAAAGAACAAATGTGCAACATTGCATAGGCATTGCATCTTGCCTGCTCGCAGCGAGCAAAGAAACAGACACTTGCGTGGAGATGTCAGGCCGTGTGGCTTTGTCGTTGTGACCTGCAGCTGCAACTGGACTGACCGGGCAACCAAATGGCTCCATGTTGGATTACTCGGGCTCATCCACATACAAGCAGGCAATGGTGGGCGACTTCTTTTCCATGGTGCTTCCTTGCCGAGCGACCAATCCAAGAAGATTCTAGCAAATGAGACAAACAAGCAGGCCCTGCTTAAAGCCTGTACACCGCAGGCATCTCTAGAGAAGCAAAAATACACCCCCCTTCCATCCCTCTTAGGGAAACCGCCCCTTTGGTTTGAACCCCCCCCTCCCCTAGCTCCTTTTTCGGCCAACCCTACCGAAAGCTGTCCAAGTCCCCTGATCCGCCTGGTCCAGCTTCCAGCCCAGGCCCTCCATTTCCGCGCGGCCCAACGCCGCCCAGAGTTCCCCCAACACCTCGCCACAGGGGCGATGCAGCAAGACCTCCTCGGGCTCCGCCGGCGCGCTCGGAAGCCAACCTCAGGCAACCCATAGAGCGGCGAATGGGGGATCCCTGCCCTCCCGAAAACAAACATGGAATCTGCAGGGACTTTGGAAGCAGGGCCTGGACCCAGACGCAGACACAAACCCAGAGACACAAACCCAAAGAGACAGAGACACACCGACAATCCACGCACCCGCACAAGCTACACAACTACACACCTCACTTCCGCTCATTCGCAAAGAACCTGGGACCACACTCACTCACTCCGTCCCACAAATCCCGCGAGCTGCGTGCGAGTGGCTCCGCATCAAGCTGAGGGGAGGCAGCGCCATCTCGTCGCCTTCCGGGGATAAGATTTGGAGACCCTCCACCGCGAAGGGTCGGCCGTGCCACGGGAGCTGCAGCACCCCGTCCACGTCCACGACCTCGCCGTTGGTGAATTCCAAGCGGCCGCGGAAGGGCGTCGCCTTGGCCACTCGACACATGGCACGGCCTATGGTCGAAAACCCGAGGTGCGGGGGGATACGGCAGCTCCCATGAGCCTGTTGATAGTTGCCAAGCCCCTGATCTAGTGGTCATATTGAAGCAGCAAGACATCAACCGCATGTTTGTCGGCCCAATTCTAAAAGATTCTAAAACCACATGTTGGCATTCTGGCACCTGTACTCGTTGTCTCATAGTCAAGGGCTCCTTTTGTCTTTGTCTTTTTCATCAATGGATCGTCCAGCAATGTCCAGCACACCGTCTCGACCCGTCTCAAGTGAGAGCGCCCGCAACCACTAACACCCAGAACCCAACCCTATCATTCGGATGTGTCTCAACACCACGGGGTCTCTTTCTTGCTTTCTTGTCTTAGATTTCCCCTCCAAAACTTCCCTTTTACCGGTGGGTTCCATTGTAACGATCCCCACTTTTGAACTTTTCGAGGTCCAACAAAAAGGGAAGAGGAGGGCCAAGCCCCCCCCCCCAAAGTTGCCATCTACATTGAAACGCCACTTTTGGAGGTCCAAAAAGAAGGGAAAACTGGCAGGGACCCCACTCCAGACCGGTTTCAAGGCGTCGCCGAAGGCGTCACTGGCCGCGCCCGAGGCGCCGAGTGGGGCACCCCGATGCGCTGCTGCACGTAGTCCCCCACGAAGACCGCGGCGCCTTCCGGGCGGTCCACCGACCAGAGCCGCGCCGCCGCGTCCCCCGCGAAGGTCACCGAGGTCTTCCTGGGGGCGATATGGTGCGATGGGGAATGACCCATGGCATAGGTGTCCTTCTAGGGGAAATAGACGGCTGCTGCTTTAGATGAAGAAACCACCAGGTAAACCAGGGCCATCTATGTTTCGACCAAAACAAGGAAGTAACTGGTGGCGCTGCTCTGGCGCCTGGCTCAGGCAATGCTAAGCTGACATACACTTGTTTCTATTTTTCCCGAAAGCATGGCGAAGGGTTCTTCCGCTGGGTTCACTTGAGTTGTTCTCATGAGAGTCATTACAAGGTGTCATTGCAAGGAATCATCATCATAAAAGTCATTGCAAGGAGTCATTGCAAGGAGTCATTGCAAGGAGTCATTGCAAGGAGTCATTGCAAGGAGTCATTGCAAGGAGTCATTGCAAGGAGTCATTGCAAGGAGTCATTGCAAGGAGTCATTGCAAGGAGTCATTGCAAGGAGTCATTGCAAGGAGTCATTGCAAGGAGTCATTGCAAGGAGTCATTGCAAGGAGTCATTGCAAGGAGTCATTGCAAGGAGTCATTGCAAGGAGTCATTGCAAGGAGGAGTCATTGCAAGGAGTCATTGCAAGGAGTCATGGCAAGGATTGCAACTTGCACTTGACTCCTTGCACTTGCAACTTGCACTTGACTCCTTGCACTTGCAACTTGCACTTGACTCCATGCACTTGCAACTTGCACTTGACTCCTTGCACTTGGCTCCTTGCACTTGGCTCCTTGCACTTGCAACTTGCACTTAACTCCGTGCACTTGCGACTTGCACTTGACTCCATGCACTTGGCCCTTGCAACTTGCAATGGCTCTCATGACTCCTTGCAATGACTCCTTGCAATGACTCCTTGCAATGACTCCTTGCAATGACTCCTTGCAATGACTCCTTGCAATGACTCCTTGCCATGACTCCTTGCAATGACTCCTTGCAATGACTCCTTGCAATGACTGCTTGCAATGACTCCTTGAAACAAGCAAGGAGTCAAGTGCAAGTTGCAAGTGCAAGGAGTCAAGTGCAATTGACTTGCGAGGAGTTAAAATCTCTTCTTAGGGCGGCGGGGTAGTGCCGACGACACTACACGAAAATCGACCCTCTGCGGGGATCGGCGTGGTCGAGGTGCAAAAACCCATGGTTTTTTGCGATTTCTTGCTCGCGCGACCCTCTGCGGGGATCGGCGTGGTCGAGGTGCAAAAACCCATGGTTTTTTGCGATTTCTAACCTGCTCGCGCGACCCTCTGCGGGGATCGGCGTGGTCGAGGTGCAAAAACCCATGGTTTTTTGCGATTTCTAACCTGCTCGCGCGACCCTCTGCGGGGATCGGCGTGGTCGAGGTGCAAAAACCCATGGTTTTTTGCGATTTCTGCGGTGCTCGCGCGACCCTCTGCGGGGATCGGCGTGGTCGAGGTGCAAAAACCCATGGTTTTTTTGCGATTTCTGCGGCGCTCGCGCAACCCTCTGCGGGAATCGGCGTGGTCGAGGTGCAAAAACTCAAGGTTTTTTGCGACTTTTGTTGTTCGAACTGGTCCTCGGGAGTTGTCTCGTGGTTCGCGCGCCTGCTCCCGGAACCGGCGGGTCGCGGGTTCGATTCCTCCCTGGTCCGCGGGCGGGCGTCGCAAGATGCAACTTGCATTTTACAGCAACTTGCGCAGAGCAACTTGCGCAGAGCAAGTTGCACAGAGCAACTTGCGCAGCCCAACTTGCACCGACCAGTTTGCGCAGAGCGCCTTGCCTAGAGCAACTTGCGCAGAGCAACTTACGCAGAGCAACTTGCACAGAGCAACTTGCACAGAGCAGCTTGCACAGAGCAACTTGCAGGGAGCGCAATTTGCACAGAGCAACTTGCAGGGAGCCACTTGCAGGGACCAACTTGCCGGAGCAACTTGCGCGGAGCAACTTGCGCAGAGCAACTTGCACAGTGCAACTTGCGTAGAGCAACTTGCGCAGACCAACTTGCACCGACCAGTTTGCGCAGAGCACCTTGCCTGGTGCTGTCTCGCGCTTGCTTCACGAAGTGTAGGGAAAAAGAACGCATCCTGCAGCGTTGGGCCGACCTCGCTTGCGATGTTCTGCTTTCGGGCCAACCGTGGTCTAGTTTTGCAGGGTGTACTGAGTGCCAAGCAGCACAAATATCCTGCATCATCTTTGGGAGCATGGTCAAAGCCCCAGTGAGCCCTAACCCAGTTGCTGGGAAAAACCTGCACCATGAAAAAGCATCTCACACCCTGCCTCCAGACAGAATTTACCTTCAGAATGTTATCTGGTTGCAACGTGATCAATATCGACTCCCTTCAATGTACATTGCCAATGCCAATGCTGCTGCCAAACTCCCATTGTGCCATAGCCCCAGACGTTGCTATTCCAAGCTTGCATTGTCTAGCCGCAAATCGAGATTCTCTTACAGTTTGTTGAAAGAAGAAAGATTTGACGAGCTGATAAATGACAACCTTCCCTCTTGTCACCCTTGAGAAGGGAGAAGGTTGGGGCAGGTTCGAAAAATGCCGGATTCGTGTGCTCTGCCTGGAACGGTCAACAAAGAACATGAGCCCACACAGTGAGCAGGCCACAGCCACAGCTGTAAAGTGCGTACAAAGCTCAATTTCAAGATCAGCTGCCACTAGAACATTGAGCATGTCTGAACATCGAGCACACTTGCTTGGAGGTCCTTGACAGGAACTGGTTTGTGTTCTGTTGCGTTGGATGACTTACTATAGAGGGTTTCACACCGAGAGGAAACCAAAGGAAAGCGACTAAGCGTCAGAGTCTACGTATGCTCTGGCAATCAGACTCAGCAAAGAAAGCCAAAATGCAGCCAAGCTCCATGTGGGTCATGGTTATCTAAGTAGAAAGCATCTGGCCATGTGTTCAAATGAGGGACACTTCACCATTGCTGATTTTACAGCAGCTTTCCTTGAAGGTTTTGACACTTCGCCCATTCATGTTTGGACAAGGCTGGACAAAAACCACACACCCACACATCCAATTCCTCGCTGGTTCATAGGTGTCGTTTTGGAAAATAGACGGCCCTGGTAAATGGAATAAAAAACAGATCCAAACCAGTGCCTTCTATTTTTGACCACACTAACCGAAACAGGACACCTATGCGCTGGTTGCAGGGGAAGCCATGGGAGTTGGTGAACTTGCGCCTTTGACCTTCACACCTACCGCCCAGCGCGCCGGTAGAGTCCACCCCGAAACCGCGCCGGGGCGCGTCTGGGTCAAGGCCACCCGCAAAGTCCGGGGCCTCAGCACAGGGTGCTGAACCCGGATCTCCATGCGAGTCCTGCGGGGGGGGGGGAAGACCTGTCAGCTTATGCGCACTGGTCCTGGACGTGTCTTGGAGTTGCTTTATTAGTTGACTGTTTCAAAGTGTGTAAACTGGTTCAAGGTGTGTTGAGAGTTCATTTGTTCTGCTTGTAACCAGGATATGCATTCCTTTACGTGCTCACTTGGGAGAATGGCCTCATGCTTGGATGAACCACTCATGGCTGGATTCACGGCTTGGTGTGACCGAACCATGGCACATTTGGCCGCGTGTGCCGTGGAATGCCTCACACTGGCGCATGCTCCTCCTCTTTTCCCTGAAAGGCCATCCCAAAGAGGCTTTCTCATTCGGTTTGGACCTGCTCTGGACTTATGCTCTGGTTGGTTTCAACGAAACACCCACTGAGCAAGTGGTCTCTGGCACCGATGTTCAGTTTAGCTTTGTCCTTTTTGAAGGCATACCTCTATTATAATATATTTGTTAGGGGACTGCAACGGGAAAGTGGACCGGGGTTTCACATCTTCGCAGCCATCTGCACAAGTACTAGCTGCAAAAGCAGGAATTTCCATGTAAGGAACAATCATGTCATGTGTACCCCCCTGTCTCGTTGCTGCAACCCTCAGGGTAGACGCTGATCCCTGGAAAGGGGACACAACAGGACGCCGTTCCACACGGTGTGGTTTCGTTCCACTTCGGAGCACCCCTTCAGTCCTCATGGGCACCTGCGCCACCAGGCACTTCCCCTCCTTCGCCCGGCCCTTCAACGGCTCTTCCTCGAGATCCCCGGACTCCCCGAGGGCTCGCAGCTCCAGGTCGAAGTCTGGGAGCAAGCCCCCGCCGGGGGTTACCACCTGCCAATCTTGTTGCACCGTGTTTTGGCTCCACGCTTTTAACTTTTGTTCCATTCACATTGCACATGCGCACAACGCAACGCGGCGCAACGCAACGTGGACCGTGCGAAGGGTTCGCGCATCTTGGGAAACACCCGAGTTCCATCCTTCGCCCGGAAGGCAACGCGTCGCCTGCACCTCGATGGTGCCCCGAGGCAGCAGCGAGGGAAGCTGACTGCTGAGCCTTTCCCTCGGCCATGCATTGGACACCAGCTTGGAGTGCAACCTGCAGAGGCAAACATGTAGCAGGTCACCTTTTGGGTTACGTGGGGAAACAAACGCCTGTCAAAAGC